TCTTCTTCTTCTTCTTCTTCTTCTTCTTCCTCCTCCTCCTCCTCCTCCTCCTCCTTCTCCCCCTCCCCTTCCCCTTCCCCTTCTCCTCTTTCTCCTTATCCTTATCCTTCTCCTCCTCCTTCTCCTTCTCTTCCTCCTCCTCCTCCTCGTCCTCCTCCTTGTCCCCCTCCTTGTCCTCCTCCTCCTCGTCTGCTGGCAAGTGAAGTCTTTATTATCAGTGTCTATTATGCCTGGCATCACCACCCAAACCTGGACAGCTGTCCTGAACATCCTTTGCTCCCCCCAGCAGGCTCTGATGCAGCTTCCTGCAGGCTAGAGGTGGGCAGCAGTCATACCCAGACTTGGGCCTCCCAACCCCACCCCAATTCCTCCCCAACACCTTCTGCCCTGGGAATGGAGGGGAGAGGGGGCCCTGGGACCCTTGAGGTGCTTGCTGTGGTTTTTCCTAGCACTACCTCCTCTCTCTTCCTCGCAGATGCTGGAAGTAGGCTGGCAAAGGCACCCCAGGCCCTCCATGTCTGACCTCTCCAATCCCCCACTAATCTATTGTGATTCTTCTTGTATCATTAAAGGTGCCTGCATTATCCAGAATCCATTACCATACTGAGGAAATCATGAAAGCTGACAAATTACCCAAGTGTATGGTTTTCATGATGAATGTCTATGAAAATATGGAAATGCCAGTGTTTGGACATATTTGACAGTTCTCTTTGATTATCTTCCACTTACAGCTTTAATAGATGAACAGATATTCTGTCTCCAAGGTGGCTTCTCTCCATCCATAGATACACTGGATCATATAAGAGCCCTGCCTCATTTACAACAAGTTCCACATGAGGGTCCAATGTGTGATCTCTCATAATTCTGACCAAAAGATTGTGGTGGAGGGGGCATTTCACCATGTGATGCTGGCTACATATTTGTTTTTTTTTAAAGTTTTATTGATAAACAGATAGCAATGAGACAGTTTCAAATCAAATTGGAAGTACAGTTTCAACAAATAATACACTGCATAT